GTCCCAATGGCAACTGTAGTTGGCCCCTGGGGCATTACGGCACATAGAAGGCAGTGCCACATAATTATGCATAATTTTGCATAATTTAACTCCAGCGGGGGTCTGTGCCTCTAGCACTGGGGCAGCTCCTGGGACCCTGCATGGGGGCAGCAAGTAGGGGAGGGGGGAATTCTGCTGAGCTGCTGCAGGGGTGCAGCTGTGAGCCATGGGGAGGGGGCTCACTGAGCAAACCACATCCACATGCACAGACCCCAGCCCCATGCACACTCCTCCTACACACCTTCACTAACTCCAGCGGGGGTCTGTGCCTCTAGCACTGGGGCAGCTCCTGGGACCCTGCATGGGGGCAGCAAGTAGGGGAGGGGGGAATTCTGCTGAGCTGCTGCAGGGGTGCAGCTGTGAGCCATGGGGAGGGGGCTCACTGAGCAAACCACATCCACATGCACAGACCCCAGCCCCATGCACACTCCTCCTACACACCTTCACAGCCCCCCACCAACCGTGCGCACACCCACACCTTCACAAACCCCATGCGCTCATACTCCTACCAACCTCATGCCTTCACACACCCCCACCAACTGCACCTCACACCTTCACAGCCCCCCCACCAACTGTGCGCACACCCACACCCCTTCACAAACCCCATGCGCTCACACTCCTACCAACCTCATGCCTTCACACACCCCCACCAACTGCACCTCAAACCTTCACAACCCCCCCTCTGCATCCCCACTTCCACCAACTGCACACACACTCCTACACCTTCCCATCCCCCCATGCACACTTGCACCAACTGCACATCCCCTGCAAACCACACAACCCCCCCCAGAAATTGGTATAAAATGTGTTGCCAGGTTGTACGATCACAAAGGACCCACACCTGCGTCTGAGGAAGGGTCAAACCGCGTCAGATTTTTTTTTTTATTTAACAAATTAAACTTTTGCATCATTTTAAACTTTTCTGCATGTCATTCCCCAGGGTCGTAGTAGTGCCCCTGTGTACATGTACACGCACACATGCACCCTGGCCAACACCCCTAAAATAGTGACCACCCACCCCATCACCACCCCCTCTGCCCTGACCTCAGCTCCAGCACTGCTACACGGGGTACATGGCCCCTCTAGTGCCCCCCTACACAGTGATTTTCCCAGTGGGCATTTAGCACCCCCCTGCGCTCTGCATTGGCCACTGCTGCTCCCAGCCGTGCTGCTGCATGGCTAGAGTCCCCTGCAACTGGGGAAAGGTGTGAGCCAATAGGATGTGTTGACACAGGCCAGAGCTGCCCTTTGGCAACCCAGGTGTATGGGTGACACCTCCCCCCCC